TAATTCTCTTCTTTGAAAGGTTCAGATCTGTAATGTGACTTTCCTCCCGTCACCCAGTTATTAACTTCTGAGCAGCTCATGAATCATATTTTGCTGGAGGTAATTCTCTTCTTTGACAGGTTCAGATCTGTAATGTGACTTTCCTCCCGTCACCCAATTATTAACTTTACCATCAGTCTGTAAATGTGGGTAGACACATACTGCAGTTAGAAGGTCTGAATGTAAATCAGTCTCGGATATCTGAATGAAAAAAATAATATAAAGAAAAGCAGGATAAGGTTAGCAACAAGATAGAATAATAAAGCTACGAAAAGCTAATCAATGGTTGTTCACAGACCAAAGCTTGAGACGTATGTAAGCTATGTTTTCTTGACAGAATTATTGTCTTGTGAACAGAAATGGTGACAGTAAACTGTTGTGTTTGTTCCCTAAAGTAATGTAAAAAGGTTATATTTGAGAAACTTAGTGTTGTAAGCAATATTTAAAAAATTTTAATTTAGATGTTTGTTCACTAGAAGGAGCATATTGTGTTGATCTAGAAACTTCATGAATGTTAAGTTCTCGGTAGGATCTGGAAGCTTCTTCTACTACCTAAAAAACTAGATTGTTTGTAAATACTAGAGTCAGTGAATTAATTAGTTTATCACTGAGTTATGCAGTTATGCTGCTCTGTGATCCAGGTAATGAGTTATTCAGTTCAGATTCAATTAGTGAGTTAGACTATGATTCAGTCAGTAAGCCAAATAGTGAGGAAAATCTACAAGTAAGTGTATTTGTAAGTTAGGCTTACATTAACTTCAGAATTTTTGTTTGAATGACTGTGAAGTTAGGCCATTCAGTAATCACAGCCTGTAGCAAATGTTATTGAAGGTATAAATTAATTTTTTTCTCATTAAATGAAGTGGGATTTGCATTATTTTTACCAAATAATTGAAAAGAACCTGCCCATGATAGAACAGATTACAACAACAGCTTATGAAATCAACAGTTTCTGACCTCATCATCATTTTCTTTATCTACTTTTGTTTTAACGAATACATTCATCCATATTGCCTATAAAAACAATCAGTCTAAAGCAACAACAAATGAATACTTTATCATTAAGATTGTAAAGTTTGGTTGATGGAACTACAAATCTATGGAAGTCTGCATGTCTTTTTTAGCCAAGATAATTGGTATAATTAATTTAATTAAACTAGTTAATTATATACTAAATATTTATCTTTGGTTTAAGATTGTTTGGGTAACAAAGTAATTTTTAATGCCATGATTTAATAAATGTGTTTTTTATGATATTTAGTTTTTGTTAATTATTAATTGTCTATGGGCCAATATTTTTACTCAAGATTTTAGTAAAGATCTTTATTTTTCTTTAAATGTACACTAGGAAATACACTGTACCACCAGTCATTTCCTTTTACTTGATGCTAATTAACAATCATATTAATACATGCAGGTGTAAATCTAACACTTTTAATTTAGTACAATTACAGTTTTATGTTGACAACACATGGGTATTAATGAGTAGATTTAATGGAACAATTACTAGTTTAAAAGTTATAAGTGAAATCTGCTTTGACCTTTGATATAGTGTATTTGTATACCAAGGGAGAGAAATGGAAAACATTGTTGCTTAACTTACATGATGTGTTAAAAATATATCTAGCTGAAAGTGGTTCTATTCATTATCTTGGTTTATAAAAAACGTTTGCTATACATTCTAGTGTAATAAAACATATTTGAATTCTCTAACAAAGATAAGTTTTTGGATTATTTTCAGAAAATTGCATCAAAAGAAAAGTGTATGTGCCAGTATATTAATGTACAGCCCAGTGATATCCTCCAGTAACCTATTTTTGCCTTTGTAAAGAGTGGCGATTTAATATGGTGTACTTAGTACTATTTCAGGGTATGGTTCATATAATACGGAGGGTGGTTGGATATTTACTGTGGATTTCATGAATAAACACAACTGTTTCTTACATAGACTAATTATATGATGGTAATTAGTTTCCTCTTTTTTTTACTGGAGATCTTTTAAAAAACTGCAGATTAAAGTAATGAGGTTCTATCTTTCATTTGTTTTCTCTCTCTACCTTCTGAATCTAGTTTTGATGGTACAGAGATTATTAACCCAGATTCTTATTATTCATTTGAGGATTGATATTGCATTCCTTGTAAGCTAACACATATCCAGGTTGCTCAATAAAAACAGTACTTAGGATCACTTTGGAATATACATAAAAAAATGTTGAGATGTTTTTAAAGTTGAAATCTTCTAATAAGTAACAATGATAGCCAAAAAAATGTTTTTAGTTATTTTTTTATTGGTATTTTCAGTTTAAGTGATTGAGCATTTGTTCAAAACCTTGAAACACTTTAAGCCTAAAACGTAAAATATCAGTTATTTTTCAAGTTATTCAGAGATGTGTTTTTCATTGTGTTTTCAGTTATAAATTGACAGACAAGTTACAAGTTTATCAAGTAGTTTTAATTTCATTTACATTTAGAATTCCCACAGAAGACCAGTGAGAGGTATACTTTATGTCACAGGTGATGGATTAAGGGTTGTAGATGATGAGACAAAGGTAAGGAATTTGATTTTTCATTATACCAAGTCTTACTTTTCTCAGCTTATTCTCTTCTATAATTAAAACACAAAATTTAATGACATCACTATTCAATATAATCACATAGTAAGGAAATTGAATTGGAAAATATTTCATTTACGAAGCTATTAGTTACTAAACATCAGAAAGATGGGAAAACACAAGTAATTCAACAGGCAGTTAACAAAATCAAACAACAATATGTGAGCTTATGTTCTATCTAATAGTTGTAACTCTGAATTGAAATGAAAGTTTTATTTTGTTTAGAAATATTTGTATATAATTTATTGTAAAGTCATTAGTATTGTATTGACTGTATTGGCATTTTAGGGACTTATAGTTGACCAAACAATCGAGAAGGTATCATTCTGTGCACCTGACAGGAACCATGAAAAGGGATTTTCATATATCTGTAGAGATGGAACAACTCGTCGTTGGATGTGTCATGGATTTCTGGCCACCAAAGATTCAGTGAGTGCTTTAGAAATGTTAATTTTTTTATAATGCTTGATGGTTAAAGCATATGGTTATTTGTGTTAACTTTTATAAAGTTGGGAAGAAATTTTCTTTTAAAGTTTCATTATGAACACAGAATCCAGTAATTCAAAGGACTTATTTATTGTTTAATGTTTTCTGTTATTATGATGAACTTAAATAATAAAATAATGCCTTTCTTATATTATCTTACAGTTTATGTGGTTACAGTGGTTAAAATGAAGGTTTAATACTGTCATAGTGCTGGATGATGTTACGTGATTATTGTTTTTCATGAGAAGTGTAGAATGAAATTTGTTCTTACTGATGAACATTTGTATTGTTTTCATATAAGATAAAATGTTATTGCCTTGATATTGTTGCTAGGATACAGGATGAGTAAAGGACTGATATTATTTTTAGGTTGGTACTGTTACTATGGTATTGGTTGAGTAAAGGACTGGTTGTTTACAGCTTGTATTGTTGCTATAGTATTGGTTGAGTAAAGGACTGGTTGTTTACAGCTTGTATTGTTGCTATAGTATTGGTTGAGTAAAGGACTGATTTTTTACAGCTTGTATTATTGCTGTGGTGTTGGTTGTGTAAAGGACTGATTATTTAGAGCTTGTGTTGTTGCTATGGTATTGGTTAGTAAAGGACTAATTGTTTACAGCTTGTATTGGTGCTATGGTACTGGTTGAGTGAAAGACTGATACTATTTCAGGCTTTACGTTTCCGATATGATATCTTACCTCCGCTCACAAAATAGCTTTCCTTAACTAGCACTGCCCTCTATTGGCACAAATTTTCCACGCATGCCACTAGACATCCACCTCCTGCTTCTGCATATTCACATGTAAATGATCATGCAGCAGGTCTCTACCAATAGGAGCCCGACACCTCTCCTATTGTAACCAGTGCCCTCTTCACATCTGCATTCATTAATCACTTTTCAATTGGTAGTAGTACTGTACAGATATGCTAGTTTTTATTCACGGGTTCATCAGTGTTTTCAGTTATACTACTGACTTCGTTTTTCTTTACTGTTTTTTTAATTTTTGTGTTTTGGTATTGTGCCAGGTTGCTTTTTTTTTCTTCAAATTTTTTCTCACTTTTCAGGGACCTTTTTCCTTTTGTATTGTGGATCCCACTTTGTGGCAAGAGGTGTCTGACTAGATATACTTTTTTTTACATTGTAGCCTTTCCTACCATGGACCTGATGTACAATTACAACTGCCACCAGGTGTTGGTTGTGTGTGTCTTCATTTTTGTTTGTTTTTTGGTTATCTATCGCTAAATAATTCCGTTGCAGGTCTGGGTTACGCACACCGTAGAGATGGGGTGTTCTGTAGGACTGTTAGTAGTTCTGTACACTCATGGGCTAACATAAATAAAGCTGACAAAGATTGCTGACCATCTCTGCTGCTTCGTGGTGTTGAGCCTACCACGGACCTGATGTACAATTCCAGATGGTACCTGGTTTTGGCTGATCGACCCATCGACATAGTAGCTCTGCTTTTTTAAAATATGGTTTCACAGTCACTCCTTGCACTGTCTCCAGTGATGCAGTCCTCCGGACTCTCAATTTCGTGTTAAATTCAGCCTGAAATGTTACTTTTTGTAGATTGACTAGTGTGTTGTTTTGAATAAACCATTCACATGGAGGTTGTATTAAATAAGAGTTTATTAATATGTCATTAAAGTAATAAATAAATAGTTCAACAGCAGGGAAGATGATTGATTTACATGGTAGTTGCCAGAGTCATACCAAGGGTAGTGCAAGCAGTGCACTTAGATAGAGTGCTGGCCCTTAAGGTGCGTGAGTTTGCACCTTTGAAGGTTAGGATAAATTACATTTCTCTGAGGAGGGGCTCAGAATTTATATCTCATACAAGGCACCATCAATGATCAGTATAGCCATGATAGTTGCTATCTTTTTCAAATCTATCTCTCTGTCTAATCCACACGGTGTCTCTAGACTTTATCTTCTGCTTGATGGGAAAATTGCATTATGCCCTATATGACCTTGTCTATAGAAATACCACGTGACTATCATATGGACCAGAGATATTTCCACGTTCCAGTAAATTTTTTTTTGATTGATCAGCTGTGTGGGTTATGAATGCAGTTCTTGCACTTTCAGATTAAATCAAAAATACAATAACAGCAATTTTTACAGTAGGCAGGTTCTCATCTTAATTAAAATGTTCTGACTCGCAGTATTGAGTCATCGTAAGGTAAGAGTTACATTCAAAAAGATAGTCTTGCATACTGTAAAAGTTGCTGTTGTTGTGTTTTCTCAATTAATTATTCAGTTCAGTAGGTTCATTACCAAACATCAGACTTCTTGTGACTTATGAGGAAAGTAATATATTTCTCTGAGAAAGAGACAAGACCTGCTGTGGAAGTCCTGTCACAGTGGTTCTCTCTCTGATGATTATGTGTACTGCTTTATTCTATTCAAACATGATTTAACACTCTTCATTTCTTTATTTGCAATAGTCCTACCATTACCTGACAGTCGGTAACCACAGACTTAGCTGAAATAAAATGTTATAGTTTCATTTTGACTTCAACATCTTGGTTCGTCTCTTTGATTTCACCTATAAAAAAATCTCCTTCTGCATATTAGATCTATGAACTTCTTATTTTTGCAGAGATTTTGTGACTGTGAACTAAGTTTGAACTTGAAATGCCACAGTATATCATAAGTGTGTACTGACTTCATTATCTGTTACCATAATGTACACTTGTATTGTAACATGTACGTTCATCCAGATGTGCAGAATATTTAAATGAAAAATAACTATTGTTTAAAATTCAGTTCGTCTAGTACATTCTAACCAACTTCCAGTAACAAATAAGTGAAATCTTTTGATATCAGTTAAAAAGCTTCTGAAATATGTTTATATAAATTAATACTTCTCAAATTAATTCTTGAAGGTTTTTTACTATATTCACATCTAAATAACTGTGAATAACTTTTTAACTGATATCAAAAGATTTCACTTATTTGTTACTGG